CCCCCCCCCCCCCCGGCCCACCCCCTCCCAGTGCCTAACCACTCTCTCAGGGAAGAAATTCCTCCTAATATCCAATCAAAACCTCCCCTGGCACAACTTGAGGCCATTTCCTCTCGTCCTATCATCAGGAATTTGGGAGAAGAGACCAACACCAGCCTCACTCCAACCTCCTTTTAGGGAGCTGTAGAGAGCAATGAGGTCTCCTCTCAGTTTCCTCTTCTCCAGACTGAACACCCCCAGTTCCTCAGCCAGTCTCCACAGGACATGTTCTCCAGCCCTCTCACCAGCCTCGTTGCCCTTCTCTGGCCCCGCTCCAGCCCCTCCATGTCCTTATCCTGTGGTGCCCAAACTGGACCCAGGACTCAAGGTGTGGTCTCCTCAGTGCTGAGTCCAGGGGTTGCCCCATGGTCTGCCCCATAGCAGGGCTTCCTCTGCAGGGCCCTTGCTGGCTGGCTGCTCCTGGCCCTGGATGAGGGCAGGTTAGCTGTGGCTCCTTTGGGTTCCTCTTCCTCTAGCTGGGCTCTTCACACCCAGGGTCCTACAGCTGGCAGCTGAGCCCTTGTCTGTACAGTGTCCAAATCATTCTCCTGTCCCTGGCTTTGCAGTACCCAGCAGAGCCTTTGTAAACCAGACCTGGGGCATCTAGTCCAGGCAGGACCCTCAGGAGTGCCACCAAGGTGACACCTCAGCAGACGTGGGGCAGTTGGTGTGACAGGAAGGGAACGTGGAGCACTGAGGAGCCCTGGACAGCAAGGGAGGGACACACAGTGGGGGAACAACTCGTGGCAGGGCCTGGGGGTGGGGTGGGGGGTTGCTGTGGTTCCTGTCTCTGCTGCCCTGGGGTTTGTCAGGCCCTGGGCTGTCACTTCTTTATGGGAAGGGAGCTGTGACTGGGGGCTGTGACAGGAAAATCACATCACAGGGCAGCTGAGGGTGGAGGGGTCTCTGGAGAGCATCTCCTCCAACCACCCCTTCTCAGAACTGTGTGTGAGCCACTCAGAGACTCTCCCAGATTCTTTGCTACAGCTCTCCCCTCCCGAGCACCCCCTGAGCTGTGACAGGCTGCTGGGAGCTGCAGAAATGTTCATCTCAGTGTCTCATCCCGTGGCTGGCAGCAGCCCCAAAGGGAGATGCCTTCCACTGTGCTCTCCCAGGGTTTCCCAGCAGCTCCTCAGAGGAGCCTCCCTCTGTCCCAGCCTTCATTTCTACCTTGGTTTCCCCAGGAAAGGAGCCCCTGAGGCTGCTGCTGCTGTGCTCCCATGCAGCATCCTGTCCCTCACATCTGCAGGGCTTGTCTGCCTTCAGGAGGAGGGGAGAGAGACTATTCCACAAGGCATGGCTGTGACAGTGTCCTGGTTCCGTGTAAAAAGGGGTTCAGGGCAGGACCCACACGGAACAGAACTATGGACTCACCTCTCCCCCACCCCCTCGAGAGAGAGAGAGAGAGACTTTTTTTAAAAAAAATGAAGTATATTGTTCAACAAGGAACAGAAAACGAAAAAAGGGAGGTAAGGAAAATAATATATATAAAGATCAGGGGAATAAT